CTGGGAATCCAGGCTGATTTGGAAAATGCTGATTTATGAAGAGCCCATATCCAGTAGCTTCTGAAGCAAGGGCATTTTCCTTCCTCCAGCTGCAATGCTCCTTTGCTGGAGGCCATGGAGTGCCGTCAGAGAGGCAAGAGCGGAGCACTGAGTGTCTCTTTCGGGGGCAGGATCATGTTGGGGTGCAGTTTTTCCAGCAGCTCTCCCATTTCACTAAAGTCTCCCCGAAACAAATCTGGACTGGGACAATATACAGTCGTCCTTCTGTATCTGCGTGGAGTTGGTTCCTGGAGCCTCACACCCTCCCCCATACCAAAATCCATGGATGCTCTAGTGTGCTATGTAAAATGGCTAGTACAATGAATACAGTCAGCCCTCCGTATGTGCAGATGCAGAACCAGCAGGTATGGGGGCCAATGGTAGTGAATTTGAAGGATTACGGGGTTAATCAAGGGGCAAATATGACCACGAGGAAGTAGTACAAGAGTTTCATTTGGGCAATGCTATGACAGATTTGCATGTAAGGGGAAGTCCTTCACGGCATGAGACCTTCCAGAGGCTAAGGGGTGAATGGCGGGAGGGGAGGATGAGGTGCAGCTACTGTGGAAAACAGTTCCCTAGTTCCTCAAAAAGTAAACATAAAATTACCATATGATCCAGCAATTCCTCCCCAAGGCATACACTCGAAAGAATTGAAAACAGATGTCCAAACAAATACGTGTACCCAATGTTCATAGCAGCATTATTCACAATAATCAAAAAGTTGAAACAACACAAATGTCCTTCAATGGATGAACGGGTAAACAAAATGTGATCTATCCATACAATGGAATATTATTCAGCCATAACAGGAAATGAAGTACTGATCTATGCTAGAACATGGATGATTTTTAAAAACATTATGCTAAATGAAAGAAGCCAGACACAAAGGCCACATACTAGGTGAGTTCATTCACATGAAATTTCCAGAACAGGCAAATCCACAGAGACAGGAAGCAGATTAGTGGTTGCCAGGGGATGACAGGGGGAAGTGGGGATGAGTTGTGACTGCTTAGTGGGTATGGGGTTTCCCATTTAGGGTAAGAAAAAGTTCTGGAACTAGACAGTGGTGATGGTTACACAACTTTGTGAATGTACTTGATGCCACTGAACTCTACACTTTACAATGGTAAATTTTATGTAAAGGGAAACTTTCTCTGCTCACAGTACTTCTGGCACCAAATGTGTAGGTTTTCTACACCAGGCAGTTCTCCAGTTCTTTGTGGACACCAACTGGTTGCCCTACAATTTAATTCAATCTTGACACTAACTACCCAGAGTTAGCACAGATCCCACAGATTAAGGGCTCAGTCCCATAAGACTGCCCCCACTTCAGATGCCAATCACAAGTAATGAGTTCCCAGGTTCCCTACACTTCTTTACAGTTTGGCTGTAATCAGGGGTTCCCATGATCTCCTCCTCGGGTTTGACAATTTGCTGTAACAGGTCATAGAATTCAGGGAAACACTACTTACACTTACCAGCTTATTATAAAGGATATTATAAAGGATACAAGGGAACAGCCAGGTGAAGAAGTATTCAGGGAGAGGTCTGCAAGGGTCTCGAGCACAGGAGTTTGTGTCCCTGTGGAGTTTGTGGTGTGCCATCCTTCCAACACATGGACAGGTTCTTCTCCCCTTGGGGCTGAAAGCACTAAGCTTTTAATCATTACTTGGTCCTTCTGGGGACCAGCCCCCATCCTGGAACTACCCAGGAGCCCACCAAGGGTCACCTCATTAGAATGAAAGACACTCCTATTACCCCAGAAAGGGATTTAGGCACTCTGAATAAGATGCTTCTTATTCACCCCTATCATCCAGGACATTATAAGAGTTTTGGGAGCTCAGTGTCAGGAACCACGGTCAAAGACCAAGTATGTCTTTCTTATTACGTCATATATGATACATCTATTTTACTACAATAAAAAAATCAGCAAAGGGTCTGAATAGACATTTTTCCAAAGGTGGCCAACAAGCACATGACAACATGTTCAACATCATTAGTCATTAGGGAAATAAAAATCAATACCGTAACGAGGTGCCACCTCACATCCACTAGGATGTTTATAATAAAAAACACAGGCAGAACAAGTGCTGGCAGGATATGGGGGAAACTATAACCCTCTTACATTGTTGGTGGGATTGTTAAATGGTGCATCCGCTTTGGCAAACCCTTTCGCTGTTCCTTAGAAAGTTAAACATAGAGTTACCATATGGCCTAACAATTCCACTGCTAGGTATATACCCAAGAGAAATGAAAACGTATGTCCACACAAAACTTTGTACATGAATGTTCCTAACAGTATTATTCATAACAGCCCCAAAGTGGAAACAACCCAAATATCCTTCAACTGATAAATGGATAAACAAAATTTGTCCTAGCTGTACAATGGAATATTATTTAGCCATGAAAAATGAAATACTGATACAGGTTACAACAAGATGAACCTTGAAAACTTTACGTTAAGTGAAATAAGCCAGTTATGAACAGCCTCATACTGTATGATTTCATTTATATGAAACGTCCAGCATAAGCAAATCCACAAAAATAGAAAGTATATTAGTGGTTGCCAGGGCCTAGGAGAAGGGGGTGATGGAGTTTGACTGCTAAGGGGTACAGAGTTTCTTTTTGGGGTGAGGGAAATTTTCTAAAATTAGATAGTGGTGCTGGTTGCACAACTTTGTAAATATACTAAAAACTATTGAATTGCACATTTTAAAAGGATGAATTCTATGCTATATGAATTACATCTCAATGAAACTGTTATTTAAAAACAGAAACACTAGCTTGTTTATAAGCATTTCCTAATCTGATTTTTTCTGAAGCCAAATATCTGGATGGGAAAAAAAAGATCAATACCCACCATATGTAATAAATGGCAGCAGATGACATAATTTTTGCTTCAACCATCAAGCCATCCTCCTCACGTATCATTTTCTTTCTGTCTAGGGAACTTTCTTTAGCCATTCTTTAAGGGTAGGTCTGCTGATGAAAAATTCTCTTAATTTCCTTTCATCTGAGAATGTCCTTATTTCCCTTTCACTTCTGAAGGAGGTTTTCACAAATATAGAATTTGTGTATGTGTGTATGGGTAGTAAACTGAACCAGCGATTAGTTCCGCTCTGTACCACCTCTTTCAGTGTCCTTGACGCTTCAGGTTTGCCTTTTTCTCCTTGACCATGTAGGTAGGACAATTGCCCAATCAGTGTATACGAATCTGTTGGGTTTCTTAAACATCACATGGATGCCATAGAGATGTTCAAATGTGATGGTGAACAGGCACTTTGAGAAAGCCTTAATACTCAGGCCAGCCCTCCTTATGAAACTGGGATGCGGTCGTGGTGACTCTACCTCTTGCAGACAGTTTTTTAAAAGTTACAACTATAAGGAAACATGAGCATTTTTCCACTTCATTAAATAGTCTTGAAAACATGATCAAGTTTGGGTTGGACTTGGCTTACAATAAAGATGAGATGAAACCATGAAAGGGCTTTTAAACACACCAGCAAGAAATGCCATGAACGAGGGCAAATGAAAACCTGAGAGATTCTGTGCAGTATCCAGGACAAACAATGGATTAAGAGAAGTGCTTAGAAATCACTGTAGGGTATGAAGGACTTCAGTACATGCCACCCCAAAATATGCCACTTCGGTTATACTATCTTTAGCTGAAGTCATCTGAAAAAATAGCTTTCTCTGAAATCCCCTTATCTGCTTAAAGACAGAGCTTCTAAAAGGAACTCTGTCATAAATCCCCTCCTTGGAAGTTTCATCAACCAGGGAGGATTGACTCTTACCACAGGAGAACTAGATGCCAACACCACACCCAGAAAAACTCTGTCTCAAACTGTGAAATCTCCTATCTATGCTTCTAAGATGTCATCCAACTTTCTATAAATCATTTACTCTTCCCTAGATTGCCTACATCTTACCTCCCCTTCCCCTGTTAAGGTGGCATATAAGATCTCAAATCTCACTGCCTGTCTGGGTATTCTTTATTTTCTTATGATGCCATCGCCCAAATAACATTAAAAATTAATAAATATGTATACCTTTTCTCCTGTTACTCTGCCTGTTGTCGGTTTTTTTCATTGACCTAGGAAGTGTATATATTGACATATTGAATCTAGGAGGGTAGAGGGAAAGTCTTTCCTCCCCTACAGGTAAAAGGGAAGGACAATGGGGCAATTCATGAATAAAGAAATACACAACACCAGCAAATATACCAGAAAGGGGAAAAAATGTGCATGTGGGCTTGGTGAAACTCTATAGTGCAGAGTTACCAGAAAAATGTGAATTAAAGAAAAGTACAGAGTGGGACTTCCCTGGTGGCACAGTGGATAAGACTCCGCACTCCCAATGCAGGGGGTCCAGGTTCCATCCCTGGTCGGGGAACTAGATCCCACATTCATGCCGCAACTAAGAATTTGCATGCCACAACTAAGGAGCCCGCCTGCTCCAACTAAGACCCGGCACAACCAAATAAATAAATACTTTTAAGAAAAAGTACAGTGGGTTGGCTGGCCCAGTTTTCTGTGGAGACAGGGAGGGAGAGGGGATGGTGTAAACTGGCAGAGCGTTCAGGGTGGACCTTCTGTGCAGAATAAGCCCAGCGGTCCAGACCCTCCGGGCCTCCACTGCCCCTGCTCTAGCACATTCTGCAAAAGAATCCCAGGACCGCACTACCTTCCAAAGCACTCAAGGCCCTCTGGGCTCTCTTCTTGGCAGGCCGGGAGGAGGCGGGGCTTCCCGGGGGGCGGGTCTGGGGGGTGGGGCTGAGTCCGCTCCCGCAGCTCTATGGCGCCCGGCAAGGGGCGTGACCACGCTAGGGGCGGAGCTACGCTGGCGGCCGCAACTTCGGGAGCAGGCGAGGGGGCGGGGCTGTCCCTGGGCGGCTAAGGCGGAGACTTGGCTGTGGCTACCACTGCAGCTGGAGCCCAGCCGGGTAGGCGAGACCGAGAGCCGGGCGGTACGCGAGGGCTGCTGGCCGTCGGCTCAAGGCCTCGGCTCCACCTGCCCGCCAGCCTGCGGTGCGATCGGTCGGCGGAGTGTGCGCCGGGCTGGGCCCATGGCAGCGTCGGCGGCCCTGTCTGCGGCGGCGGCGGCGGCTGCCATGTCGGGCCTGGCGGTGCGGCTGTCTCGCTCGGCTGCGGCCCGCGGCTCGTACGGCGCCTTCTGCAAGGGGCTCACGCGCACGCTGATCACCTTCTTCGACCTGGCCTGGCGGCTGCGCATGAACTTCCCCTACTTCTACATCGTGGCCTCGGTGATGCTCAACGTCCGCCTGCAGGTGCGGATCGAGTGAGCGCCCGCAACCACCGCGCGGCCGCGACGGCAGGGGCGCCGGCATGAAGCTCCGCGGGACCCAGGGCCGCCGGGACGCGGCGGGGGAAGGAGAAGGGGCGGCCCGGGCCCCCGGACCCTAGACCTCGGCGGAGGTCACGGCCACCGAGCCCCAAGCCCCGGCTCTGGTCACCCACGTCGCAGCCGGTGACGAACTGCACAGAAACTCGCGAAACGGGCCCTTTCCATC